ATATGTTAACTGACTGATAGATCTGTAGTTTTCTATATGTTAATTTATTGATAGATCTGTAGATTTTTATATGTTAACTGACTGATAGATCTGTAGTTTTCTATATGTTAATTTATTGATAGATCTGTAGATTTTTATATGTTAACTGACTGGTAGTTCTGCAGATTTCTGTAAGTTAATGAGTGGTAGATCACTAAGCTTTCTACATGTTAACTGACAGGTAGATCTGTAGCTTTCTGTGTGCTAACTGAGTGGTAGATCAGTAGCGTTCTACCTGTTAACTGATTGCTATAGCTTTTCAAACTTTAATTAATTTTAAACATACAAAAGAAATACATTTGAAAACGATCTAACATAAAAGAACAGTAACAACCTTCGCCCAGACCTCAGAGGAAGAACACTGTACAAACCAACTATACACATGCTTGATCCCCAGCGTTTTATTCGAAGATCGTGATATTATACTCAAATCTCTGAGAGTTTAATGCGGAACTCGTGATCTAACACCCAGCGTACTCACGTTTTATAATTTATGCCTCTAATAATCGGATCAATAAAAACCCACTTTAGTAATGACCAAAAAAATCATGGCCGTTTTCTCTTTAAATGTTGCCATTCAAACGTTTTCCATGATTATGTACCAATATACAAAGCTTCTGATAAAACACAGGACTAATAATTATAAGCATTATTAATCAATAAATTTTATTTGAGCAAACCGTTTAACAACTGTAACTGAGTAAAAAACATGTTATTCACAGTCTTTATGTTACTGTGTCGTATCTGGGGTCGCGCACCCTTTCTTTTAGCCCACACATTCTCCTAGAAACACAGTTGCAAATTATTAATCTAAATTACAAGTACCACATATGGATTATTTATCAGCTATCGGTAATATTTGTTCCTAGGAATATTAGGCAGAATTAGAAGAAACTTTTTGAAGCTTACCTGTTTATGTCGTATAATGTTTGTATACTTTGGTTCGCAATTAAGATACATGTATCTTCTCCTAAGTTCACTCTCTGTATGTGTGAAACTCTTTTCGTATTGAATTAATTGTATTATGTATGTAATATATTAATATGAATAAAACATTATGTTTGTATGTGTACACAAATTTACAACTTCTATGAGCGAGTTTGTGAGCAAGGAACAAGTAAAAATGAGTCTGCATTGGCAAAATCACGAATCATATTTTTGCTTTGATGACGCTATCCTGGTTATGAATTTTCCAGATGGCTAACTCATAAATGGCCACTTTCCTTCTTAACAAAATTATTGAGAAAAGTCTAAAAGGGAAAAATACAACATTCTATTTCGAGGTGATATTGGTATTCCATTAGAGCTGTTTTTATTTCACAATACTTTTGCCAAAGAACAAAAGGGAATCCTAGATAGCCGCGACACTTGAAATTCTATTAGGCAGGAATGGAGTAAATAAACATATGAGACAGTTGTGGCCCTTTTTATTAGCTATAGTTTTAGTTGTGGCCCTTTTTATTAGCTATAGTTTTGTGCACCAGCAATACCAAGCGTGGGGCGCGCATATACCCGATTTGATTTTATTACTCATCAGGATCTCTACCAGCGAACTCTTTTACTCTTCTCTAGCAACAGTTTTATTACTCATCAGGATCTCTACCAGCGAACTCTTTTACTCTTCTCTAGCAACAGCGCTTGGAGTTATACTTTACATAGTTTATCTGACGATAATCCACTTGCAATCTGAGTGTCGCGAGTTCGAATCCCCGTCCCACCAAACATACTCGCCCTTTCAGCCAGCCGTGGGGACGTTACAATGTGACGGTCAATCCCACTATTCGCTGGTAAAAGAGTAGCCCAAGAGTTGGCAGTAGGTAGCAATGACTAGCTGCCTTCCCTCCAGTCTTTCACTGCTAAATTAAGGACGGCTAGCGCAGATAGTTCTCATGTAAGTTTGCGCGAAATTCAAAACAAACAAACAAACTAATAATACCTTGAAACCAGTGGTTAGATTGGTATTCTGTAAGAGATGGAACTCCCTCTTGTAATCTACTTTGACATTTCAATCAGAAGACTAGGACTGTTTCGCCCCAATTTAACCCCTGCTTCTAACAGAATTTTGTATATTTTACCCGTGGATTTTTCTCAATAAGTTTGTGAAGAATGTAAATGACCATTTATGACTTAGCCATCTGGAATATTTATTTTAAAACACAAATCAATGTGTATTTTTTGTTTATTAGGTCTCTTTGTTGGATCATTTGTTTGTTATGGGCATTTGCTTTCGAATATATAATGATGTCAGTAAACCAGACTGCTTTTGTCTGCGTTTTTCACGGACATGTATCAAAAAACAAATTCAATTGTTTACTATAGGGTGCGAAAGAATATTTCCTGTAAACGGGAGGGATTTTATATGTCCCACTTAAAGTCGAGAAAACTTGCTGAAATCCTTCAATCTACTGTATAGGTATATATTTTTTGGTATCACTGTTACTGGAAGCAGCGCTCTGGACACCTGTACTTTTCACAGATGAGTCAAGATTTTATGCTGTTACCAAAAATTGATGGGTTTATGTCTAAAGAATCAGAGATGAACGATATATTCAGTGCAACATCATTGAATATGACCATATACAGCTCTAATATATATATACGAAAGTGAATTAATGGCAATTATACGATCTCCGGCGAGTGCAAATGGATTAGACAATATCCTGAAAATCGCTATTTTCTAACTATAATTATCGTAATAATGAAGTATTTTCAAAGACAAACCTGAGTATTAAAGGATTGGCTAGCAAAAATTCATGAACCAAATTCCACAAAACATCTCTGAAAGTTTTATTGGACGTCGTGTACATCAACTCCTTAATTCATCCTGCGACATCTTGTTTTACTCTGACAGAGGAAATGGACACGATCCCCTCACTCTGACGGAGGAAATGGACACGATCCCCTATAATGTCTTTCGTGGAATGATCACAAGTACAATGATGTTTGGGTTTATACCCGTTACTAGTAATTTTTGGTCAAACGTGCCTGTTTAAGGCAAGTTTCTTCAATTTAAACTTAACTATGACCACTTTTGAATTTTAAAATATTCATGATCC